TATCCTACTATTCTTAGCTTACTTTCCCAACTCTCCTTTAAGATGGCAGGGAAAAGATTTAACTACAGAGCTTGCAACTTTCATTTCTAAATTTGTTTTGGGTCACACTGGGCGATGCTCAGGGTTTAGTATTAGGGGTACTCCTATGGGGTTCAGGGGACCATATGGGGGTTGAAAATAGGTCAGCTGTGTACAAGGCAAATGCCTCACCCACTTGACTGCTGCCCTGGCCCACGAGCTTGCCACTTTTAAATAATGTTATCTACGTCATAGGGTAATAAATAGGGCTGACAACTCAAGCTTTCCCTAGCTGTTAACTAGAGTTGCTGAGTGTGTTACTGGCAGGGGCTAGAACTACTACTTCCAGGTATTTTGTCATAATACCTTTCTTTTGGGGGGAGGGCGTGGAGGATTGAACCACCCCTGGTTCTGCTCGGAGCTTACTCTGGAGGGTTCGGGGAACATAAGGTGTACTACGGATCCAGCCCAGGTCAGTCAAATACAAGGCAAGCGCCCTACCTACTGTATTCGGCAGGTGTGTGAATACACACACACACACACACACACACACACACACACACACGCACGCACGCATGTGCAATCTAGCCCCATTGTACCTAAATGCAACTCTTAGCAAAAAGAAAAATCCACACTAGCACAAAGGGGAGAAAATCTAAAAATGTGAAAGCATCCTACTGATGCTGACAGACTCAATTAAAACATCGAACAAAATTGCAGATATTCTTACTATTCCTATTACTTCTAATTCAAACTATGAAGTAAAAAAAAAAAATTAAGGTCTTTCTTAAAATGAATCCATTAAGATATACAAACTATATGTAACTATAAACCAGAAAGGTCAATTCCCACCAGTAATCTGGGCTATAAATAGTTTAGGATTAGAATTTACTTCAACCTTCTATCTCAAGTGAAAACTTACAACACCTAAGTCAGGGGATCTCACAGCTGCAGGATGGCTTTTGACATGCAGACTCCCTAACCCCCACCTCCAGAGACGGACTGTGGGAGTGGTGGGTGGCGAGCTGCATCTGAAAGTATTCCCAACACGCTGTTCTGGTGACAGAAGGTTGTTATGTTTAAAATCTCAAGTTTGAATAGGAACAAACAGTATGCTTTTCTATTTTTTCTTCTGAATATCAAAAATAGTTTCTGAAGGGATTAAAATTCCTGAATCCTATCTGACCTTAAGTACATATTATTATCGCTAATTTATTAAGAATAGTCGCCTGCGGGCTGGAGCAACAGCACAGCAGGTAGTTCATTTGCCTTGCACGCGGCTGACCCGGGTTCGATTCCTCTGCCCCGCTTGGAGAGCCCGGAAAGCTACCGAGAGTATCCCGCCCGCACGGCAAAGCCTGGCAAGCTCCCCGTGACATATTCGATATGCCAAATACAGTAACAACAAGTCTCACAATGGAGACGGTACTGGGCCCGCTCGAGCAAATCGATGAACAATGGGAGGACAGCGTGCTCAGCTATTTTATAGCTGTTTCTGGCACTCGGGCTGAAGAGACAGTCCAGGGGAGAGCAACTTGTCTTGCACACAGCTACCCTGGGTTCGATCCCTGGTACTGCATATAGTCCCCTGAGTCTGCTAGGAGTGATCCCTAAGTGCAGAGCCAGGAGTAGGCCCTGAACACCGCCAGACATGACCCGAATACAACCCAAAATAAAAGACACTCTGCTTCAGAACTGGTCTCTAATGCAAATTGATCCTGATCCTTGTCTATGTCTGTCTGTCTAGAGGTCAACAATATTTTTCTGAACTTGAAACAAAGGTGAAGTTTTCTTCATATGTAACTGGTCCAGTTAATTTTAACCATTAGCTCTTATTTTTTAAAGCACAGAATGAAAAAACAAAAATGACCATTTCTATAAATACTCCTATCTGGTGATAATAAAACCATCATTTAGAAAGCAGCAGGCATGCTGGTATTATGCTGTTAGCGGTCCATGTACTTCATATTTCTCTAATATGCTGCCGCTTCAGAGAGTGGCCATGCTCTGATCCTTTCACTAACGCCTCTGCTTAATAAAAGTGGCATAGAGTCTGGGCACTGGCTTTTAACTCCTGAATAGTTTAACTTTACTTTGGTCTAGCAGTCCAAACAAATGTGCAAGCTGTTCCCTGAACAAATCTTTGGCTCAAAAATGACCATACTTTTATTATTATTTTTTTGCTCTTTGGGTCAAACCCGGCGATGCACAGGGATTACTTCTGGCTCTGCACTCAGGAATTACTCTTGGCGGTGCTTGGGGAACCATATGAGATGTTGGGAATTGAACCCGGGTCGGCCGTGTGCAAGGCAAACGCCCTACCCACCGTGCTACTGCTCCAGGCCCATGACTGTACTTTCAAAAGGACCTATCTCAAAGGCATGCATTAATAAATCACAGAGGAGAACAACCTAGCAGGGAGTCCGTTTGGGGACCACAAAAAACTCTTCAAGATGTTCAACATCCCAAGATGTTCATGGGATGGTGGCAGAAGAATAGTGCTGTGGCATAATTTCAGGGATTTCTGGACGCACAACTGGCAAGTGAAAGCCTGTAAAAGCTGAAGACATTGCTTTACCACACCATTTCTCAATCCTGCTTGACCATAAAATCTTTTATCTTCAACATCACTATTTAATATTCTGAGTATGTGATTGGGCAAGGAATCTAACCTCTCCCTGAGCCTTTCTGTCTGCATAAACATATGTGAGTTGACAGGATTAATTCTATCTGTGAATGCTTTTATAACTGAGTTCAGGAACAGAACTTTCATTTTGTTCAAGCAAGGAGTTACCAACTAACCAACCAACCACCGCAAATGAAAAGGAACATAAAATACTACATATATTCCTTGCAAAGATTTTTTCCCCTTCTCAAAAGCACAAATGAATTGCAATCCCTCTCACTAGGCCGTGCAAAGGCACTGCCATCTGCAGGCCACAGAGCCAGAACGCCAGCAAGGGATGTACAATGAAGTTTCAAACCATCAGGCAGGCTCTTTTGCGTTACACTGCTCAAGCTTTTCCAGAGATTCTCGGCTTTTTGAGCACTGGTAGATGAGGCTCCATTTGCTGAAGTTCTGGAAAGGTCTGGAGTGAAATAAAAATTCTCATTTCTTCCGCACACAGGGCTTTTGCTTAGAAGTGGGAAGAAAATCACCTACAGAAATCCTGCATTATGCCTATATGGGACAGCAAAGAATATGGATTTCTTTTGAGTCTGGGAGCTAGGGAAGGGGTTGGCAAGAGGGGAGGCGAAGGACCCCCCCCCCAGCTGCCCGAGTGGATTATTCTGCCTTTTCTTTAAACTGTTCTCTCTCTCTCTCTCTCTCTCTCTCTCTCTCTCTCTCTCTCTCTCTCTCTCTCTCTCACACACACACACACACACACACACACACACAGAGCAGACTACAAGTAGAATAGATGGTTGACAAATCAGCCCGTCAGTGCCTCCTTTGGAAGTGTTCACAGGGATGGGATCTGGGGCGGGATGCATCTAGCCAACTTGCACTGTGCCTTGTCAGGTTTCTCCACGGATCCTACTTGTAAAAAGCACTGCTTGTTTTTTGGTTTGTTTTTTTTTAACCCTGTAAAGAGTGTTGGGGGGAGGGGGTAGGAAGTGTTTCCAAAATTACCTGGTGGGGGACAGATGACAGAAACAAAAGACAAAGAACCCAGAGGAAGGAAGAGACCATGCCCGGGGGTCAATTTTTTTCACACCGGCAAAACCCACAATGGTTTTTATGGGTTTGTTTTCACACCCCAGGCTGACTCATGAGGAAGACAACCTAGCGGTTAAAGCGCCACAGTTAAAGCCCCACGCAGTGAGCTCTGTGTGTGTGTGTGTGTGTGTGTGTGTGTGTGTGAGCGCGAATGTGAGTGCGTGCCCAGATCCCGGGTGCGACACCACCACCATGCGACCAGGGTGGCCGGGGGGCGGGCGGGCAGGTAGGTAGGTTAGGTGGCCCGGAGCGGACAGGCCACTTCCAGCCCGTTCGTCGCCGACGGTCCCCGGTCCCGGGGAGGGACCCGGTCCGTCCCCAGGCTGCGCTGGGATCTCTGGGACCAGAGACGCCCCTTGGGCGCGGCTGGCAGGGGGCGGCCCCGGGGTGGGGGGGACACACCCCACGCGTGTCGGCCCGCGCGTGGGCCGCGGAATAACTCCAGCAGGAAGCAGGACGCAGGGTTTCAGAGGCGTTTATTGGTTCGGAACGAGCATCGGCGAGTGACGGGCCTTGCAGCGTGCGGCCCGACCCGACGCTCCCGCCGTCAGCGGGCGGGGGAGGGGGGGTTGGTGCCTGGGGTCTGGGTGGTCGCGGCGCGGCCCCACCCACCCCGGCCAGGCCCGGGGTCCGCGTCCCTAACACGGGGGGGGGGGGGGACGGGACGGGAAGGGGGGCGGGGAATGGTGGTCCCGGGAGCAGGCGACGCCCCGAGGATGCCGCACAGCGAGCGGCGCGGCCCAGCTCGGCTCGGCCCGGCCCGGCCCGGCCCGGTCCGGCCCAACCCCCCACCCCCCCGAGCGCCGCCGAGGCCGAGCGCCAGGCGCGTTTTACGGTCCTTTCTTTTTTATTTGGTGGAATCAAAGAGAGAAATTGGCTCCGCGTGTTTCACATCCTCGCGGGGGGTGGGGGCGGGTGGAGGGGGTCCCGCGAGCCGAGCGCGCGTCCCCGATTCCGGTGCCCGGAGGAAGAGGAGGAAGAAGAGGAGGAGGAGGAGGAGGAGGAGGGGGCGCGCAGGGCAGGGCCGCGGCCCGGGGCGGGCAGCGCGGTGGCCGGCGACGAGACCAGGCCGCGCCCCGCCCCGGGCATGCGCAGCGCCCGTGCGCGCCCCCGGGAGCCGCCGAGGCCGCGCGTCGAGCGGAACCGCCGCCGCCGCCGCCGCCGCCGAGGCCCGGGCGCCCCCCCCCCCCCCGCCGCCGCCGCCGCCGCGGCCCCCGCAGCCCCCGGCCCCGGCGGGCGGCCCCCGCGTCCCGGCACTCACCGCTACCAGCGCGGCGGCCTCCCGGCCGATCCTTCGCCTCAGGCCCGCCGCCGCCGCCGCCGCCGCCGCCGCCGCAGCCCACCTGCCCGCCGCAGGACAAAGGCGCCACCAACCGACCGGCGCGGGCACGAGGCAATGGCGGCCGGGGCGGAGGGTGGGGGCAAGAGGGCGCGCACGCAGCGGCGGGCGCGGCACTGTCGCAAGGGGCGCGCGCGTTTACGGCCGCGCGGCGCGGCGCGGCGGCGCCCGTCTCCTTAGCGACGAGGGCCGGGGCGTGGCTCTCGGGCGGCGGTTAGGGACGCGCGGCGTTGCCTAGGGAACAGCGTCCTCGGGCGGCGGGCGGGGCTCGGGGCTGTTGGGTACCTTGGTTCCTCCTCGGCCCGCCGAGGGATGCTCTCGGGCGCCCGTCGTCGTCGTCGTCGTCGTCGTCGTCGTCGTAGTCGTAGTCTTACGCTCTTGGCTATAGCAACAGCGGTCCCTAAAATGCCTTTTTTTTTTAAAGTCTCGTGCACCGAATCCAAAGCAGCTCCAGGCAGGCGTCTGTGTGCTGGAGGTTAGATGCCCGTGTCCTAGAGCGCTAGCGAACATGTCTTATTTTTAACTAAGTAGCCAACACTGTTTAGCTAAATAAAGGCTCCTGGTGACAGTCACAGGTTCTGTCCGGAGCCAGAACAGGCTGGAGGGCGCTTTTCCCTTGTATGCAGACGACCCGGGTTCGATTCCTGGCACCCCCATCCATATGGTCTCCGCAAGAACCGTCGGGAGTGAACCCCGAGTGCAGAGCCAGAAGTAAGCCCTGAGCGTCCAACAACCAAAATAAAAATGAAAAGCGTCTATGCGCCTCAAAATGTCTAAGCTTTTTTCAAAAAGATGAACTTTCTAGACTCTTAGGCCATGAAGCATGTAAAATGAGATGTTTGTTCGGTGGTAGACCATTTGTTGTACGGAATGGAATATGTTCACAACGATAAGCACTCCACTATTCACAGTCCTCACAATATAAGTACAGAAACCAAACCAAAATGGTGTCCCTGGGAAGTCGGCCCGGGGAAAAGCCAGTCTCTCTGACAGCAAGCCATGTGCTCCCTCTCTCATTCATTCACTCACCAGACGTTTATCATACACCCACTTGTTATACACCCACTTAGGACTGTCGGTGAGAGTCTCCTGATAAAACCCAAACCCATCTCTATTATCTTGCAGATTTGTGTCTAACACTGAGATAAAATTGGTTGGATAATCACACTCCAGTGTGTGATCACCAACAAGTAATTACTACTTGAAGAGAGATGCAGGGATGCGCTCTATTGTCCGGCATTCCTCTCTGTAAATAGAGCAAATTGTGTCTGCTGCCATGACCTTCAAATGCTTACCGAATAGCACCTGAGAAATGAAAAATGGGTAGTGATTTCCCCTCTCTCCTGCCTCTGTTGATTGTTTCTGCAGGCAGCCTGGGGGGATATTCCCTTTGCTTGCTTAGTCTAGGAGGGAAATGTGGGGATTATGTAAACTCACTTGTTTTTTCAAGATCCAGAAAATTAAGAACATCTTTTTTTGAAAATTATTTTTAGTTTTTAATTTTTATTAGTGAAACAACATGAGGTACAGTTGTAGACTTACACATTTTTGTGCTTGGGTTTCAGTTATACAATGATCAAGTACCCATCCCTCCACCAGTGCCCATTTCCCACCACCACGGATCCCAGTATCCCTCCCACTCCCCATCCCCCCCATCCCACCCCGCCTCTGTGGCAGGGCATTCCCTTTTGTTCTCTCTCTCTCTCTCTTATTGGGTGTTGTGGTTTGCAAAAGAGGCAATGGGTGACAATCATGTTTGGTCTATAGTCTACTTTCAGCATGCTTCTCCCATCCTGGGAGGATCCTCCCAACACCCTTTATTTGGTGCTCCCTTCTCAATCTGAGCTCCCTTTTCCCCTAGCATGTGTGGCTGGCCTCCAAGCCATGGAGCAAAATTCCTGGTATTGATCTCTGCCACTCTTGGGTGTTAGTCTCCTATTTTGTTACTTTATGTTCCCCAGATGAATGCAATCTTTCTGTGTCTATCCCTCTCTTTCTGAGTCATTTTGCTTAACATGATACTTTCCATGTAGTACCACTTGTATGTAAATTTCATGACTTCATCTTTTCTAACAGCTACATAGTACTCCATTGTGTAAATGTACCAAAGTTTCTTTAACCAGTCATCTGTTCTCGGGCACTCAGGTTTTTTCCAGATATTGGCTATTGTAAAGAGTGCTGCAATGAACAAACAAGTGCAGATGTCACTTCGACTATACTTTTTTGCCTCTCTGGGATATATTCCCAGGAGTGGTATTGCTGGGTCAAATGGGAGCTCAATTTCTAATTTTTTGAGAATTGTCCATACTGTTTTCTAAAAGGGCTGAACCAGTCGGCATTCCCACCAGCAGTGAAGGAGGGTCCCTTTCTCTCCACATTCACGCCAGCATTTGTTCTTTTGGATGTGGGCCAGTCTCTGTGGTGTGAAATGATATCTCATTGTTGTTTTGATCTGCTTCTTCCTGATGATTAATGATGTAGAGCATTTTCTCATGTGCCTTTTAGTCATTCGGATTTCTTCTTTGAGAAAATTTCTGTTCATTTCGTCGCCCCATTTTTTGATGGGGTTGGATGTTTTCTTCTTGTGGAATTCAGTCAGTACTTGTATATCCTTGATATCAACCCCTTGTTGGATGTGTATTCGGTGAATATCCTTTCCCATTCTGTAGACTGTCTTTGTATTTTGGTCACTGTTTCTTTTGAGGTGCAGAAGCTTCTTAGTTTGAGATAGTCCCATTTGTCTATCTTTGTTTTCACTTGCTTGGTCAGTGGTGTGACATCTTTGAAGATACCATTAGCTTCAATATCATGGAGGGTTTTGCTAACTTTGTCTTCAATGAACTTTATGGATTCCGGTCTGATGTTGAGGTCTTTAATCCATTTTGATCTTACTTTTGTACATGGCGTTAGGCAGAGATCTGAGCCCACTTTTTTGCATGTAACCATCCAATTTTGCCAGCACAATTTGTTAAAGAGGCTTTCCCTGCTCCACTTCACTTTTCTTGCCCCCTTATTGAAGAAAATTAAGAACCTCTTGACAGATTCTCTTTCTTTCCTTGGTGACTCCTTTTTTGATGTCACACTATATATAGTTGTACCCTATTTTTTGTTGTTGTTGTTTGTTTGACTGAGTTGATGGAGTCTCTTAACTTTTGGTATTTAAAATTTAGTTCTTGTTGATTTTTGGTTAAACTCACAGGGACAGAGATTCCTAGACTCAACTTCCTCATGCTATTTTTAGCCACTCTGAAGTTTCACAAGAGATTATCTATTCTTCACAACAACATGTCTGGTAGAACTTTTATTTGTTTTGGGGCCACACTGGCGGTGCTCAGGGCTTTCAGTAGTACACAGAGTCTGGACTGGAGAGCAAATTGACAGCCTGGGACATGCCAGGTATGTGCTCTATTGCTAGAGCCATATTTCTAGGGCCCAGCTATATAAGTTTAAAAAATTCCTCAACATTTAAAAAAATATATTAAATAACATAAAAGGTAGAGGTAAAGGCCCTCCCGTTGATCGTCGATTTGCTCGAGCGGGCCCAGTAACGTCTCCATTGGAGACTTTGTTGTTACTGTGTAAATAATATATTAATAGGGGCCAAAGAGATAGTACAGCAGGTAAGGTGCTTGCCTTGCATGAAGCCCCACCGGGGTTTGATCCCTGGCATCCCATATGGTTCCCTGAGTACAGCAGAAGTGATTCTGAAGTGCAGAGTCAGTAGAAACCCCTGAGCACAACTGGGTGTGGCCCAAAAATATTATATATCTATCTCAGACTTTTCTATTCTCCACTGTGATTGAGCAAATGAAAATAGTTTGTCAATTTGCTTTCAGACATGAAATAAAAACAGCCAACATTACCTTCGCATCTCCTTCCCCTCCTTTCCCAGAGCTTATTGCTCTCCTGAAATACTTTCCCCATGTATAGAAAAGTGTATATATGAGAGGCTCATGAGACAGTAAAGCAGGTAAGGTGCTTGCCTTGCACGTGGCCGGCCTGGGTTCAATACCTTGCACCCCATATGGCCCATGAGCACATAACCAGCTGTAAGCCCCCAGAACATCTAGGTCTGACACCCCCAAACCAAAGCAAAACCAAAAAGATTGTATGTGTATATATATATGTATGCACACATATGTATAGACATACAAGAATAAACCCATGTGCCTATATTTTATGTATTCATTCACAAATTGATTTTTTAAAATTGTAATGGACTTTAAAGAGTTTACTTGATTGAAATGTATAACTAGAAGCTGGAGCAATAGCATAGCAGGTAGGGTACTGGCTTTGCACATGGCCAGCTTGGGTTTAATCCTGGAACCACATATTACGTATTCCCGAGTTCCTCTAGGAATGATCCTACTCCAGGAGTTAGCCCTGAGCACTGCTGGTGTGACCCCAAACCAGGCAAACAAAAAGTGTATCACTAGTTAGTGGTTCTTAAAGCATGGTTCCTGGACCAGTGGCATTAGCAACATTAAAACCTATTGAATGAGAAATTCTAGGGGTCGGGGCCAGAGCTGGAGAGATAGTACAGCAGGTAAAAGCTTGCCTTGTGTGTGGCCAACCCTGATTCGAATCCCTGGCACCACATATGGTCCCCAGAGCATTACCAGGAGTAATCCCTGAGCGCAGAGCCATGGGTAAGCTTTGAGCACAGTTGGGTGTCGCCCAAATACCAAAAAAGAGGAAGGAAGGAAGGAAGGAAGGAAGGAAGGAAGGAAGGAAGGAAGGAAGGAGGAAGGGAGGGAGGGAGGAAAGAAGGGAGGGAGGAAGGAAGGAAGGAAGGAAGGAAGGAGGAAGGGAGGGAGGGAGGGAGGAAAGAAGGAAGGAAGGAAGGAAGGAAGGAAGGAAGGAAGGAAGGAAGGAAGGAAGAAAGGAGGAAGGGAGGGAGGGAGGAAAGAAGGGAGGGAGGAAGGAAGGAAGGAAGGAAGGAAGGAGGAAGGGAGGGAGGGAGGGAGGAAGGAAGGAAGGAAGGAAGGAAGGACTCTAGTACTTGAGAATATGGCTAGAATGTGAGTCGTAGAACACTTCTTTTCCTCATGACGGGCTCTGGGTTTGACT